ATGGGACAAGGCCAGTGCAACGAACATAGTAAAGAGCAGAAACCGTGAAACCGACAACCGAAATACTGCACAACAATGAAACGAAACAGTGAGCATCATTACACTTTGCCATGTACATTTTAGCATTTACGCTAGAAAGCGAACAAGACATTGAACGATGTTATATACACAAACGACCAACACAACTTAGTTCGAGATATATAGCTGCCAAACTATTTCAGGAGCAGTGCATTGAAAAATTGGCTAACAGACAGCAGTCACAACAAAATCAAAACAATAAGCAATAAGTAGCCTCGAGGTTATTTAAATAATGAAAAGAGCGAGGCTTTAAATGATTGAATGGAAGTCGTGTTTACGATGTCAAAAGGCAGCTCATTCCATTCAGTAATTGTTTTAGGAAAAAAAGAAAACTTGAAGCAGTCGGTATGGCATTGATAGTCTGTAAGTGATAAGGCATGGTAGCTACGTGTGCTTCTCGCAGATTTTAGAGTGACATAGCGTGACCTGTCTATTCTAAACCTATCGTTTATCAGTGTGTATAGGAAAGTGAGTCTGCTAATTTTCCTACGCGTTTGGAGGGGCTGGATACCGGCTATGCTGTATAGGGCACTCACAGAATCTAATATTGTGAGTTTAAAAAAAAAAAAAGCTACAGAGGTTCTTGAAAAGAAAAACGAGTTGGAGGTGAATTCTATAGTGTTTTTATCCCATGAATCTTAATATCACGTTCGTTTTTCCCGAAGATGTAACTAAACGCGAGACAAAACGAACATCCTCCGACCTCTCGTGTCGCTCGTGTGGACAGCGCGTGCAATTATGAGCTTGCCAGGTATATTCCCTCGCATTGACACCAGTCGTGACGTCCTTTTTCTGACATTATTTCTTTTTTAAGCACTCTCGTCCCCAGCCGCCTAATAGGGAGTATTCCCTGGCGGCCATAGCTGTGTGCGCGACTGCTGAGCGCGTGCAGATGGCGAGCTTCCGCAGTTCTTTCGTCGCGTGCATTCCGCATCATCAAGATTGCCGGTATTAGAAGTCTATTAACGTGAGCTCGTTCCGAGCATGCGCTGTAAATAGTGACCTCAAATATGGCGTCCTGTGAATACTCTCTAGGTATATCCGGTATGGGCGACGAAAAAATACTAAAACGTTCAACCTGAAAATGACAAAAAAATAGGGGGAAAAACGAGAAAGTGTGACGGTTACGCTCATATCCTAAATGCCTTCTATTGGCGTGGCAACGGCAAAACAACAATTTCGCCCATACTGGAAGCGACGACAATTCAAGATGGCGGCGCCCTTGTGAGAAAGGTCTATACATAGCTTTGATAGGCGTTGAAGATGCGCGAGAGCGGAGATTTCGAAAACTCTGTATATGACGTCACGCTCCCGAAAGAAGCGTGACTTGAACGGTACTAAAAAAAAATGTTCCCGGTAGCTTCCGTGAACCAAATTGAAAAAATAATAATCTCGATATTCATGATTTTGGAGGTCAAATAAAGACGATTCAAGTGTTTCTTTTCCTTAGATACGGGACCGCTTTAGTTTCCCTTTAGGAAATATACCCCCAGATGCGGAATCGCGAGATCCTGGAAGATGCGAAGGGAAAGGAGGAGGGGGAAAAAAAGGGGGGGGGAGGGGGGTGCTTGGCTGTATTTTTAAAAAATATGTATCGATCTCACCAGCTAATTTGGTTACGCCGCCGCTTCCGCAATGCATCGAGGGAACTGTAGTCTTTCCGTTCGCGCGACAACCTCGCTGGACCTCTGCGCGTGAAGTGCACGAGACTATATGAACTCAAGTTATTGCGGCGACACGCATGCGTAGAACGCCACGCGAGATCGGTCTATTGCAATCTCAGCGACCCGACTGCAAGTGCCCCATGGGCACCAGCACGCATAGCTTGACCGTGGCGGGCATGACATTTGGAGGCGTCCAGACGTCCTGCTTAGATTCGTCTCTTATGGCCGAGTGAGCGACAAAACAGAAAGAACCGACAAGCCTCGTGCACGTGCATCATGCACGCGAAGGTACTCTTGGCAGTGTACCCATCAAGTGAGCACGAGCGATCGCAAGCCTGCCAAAGATAGCTTCGCGTGCTTGCTGTACTAACCCGACGCCTGTCGGTTGTTTGTTTTGTCGCTCTAGTGGGACTCGGCCATTATAAAGCAAAACAAAACCCCCTAAGCTGATAGTGTAGTTTGAGCTACCAGCTGGCCGGACAAATCAACCGCCTCACTTTCGCCATCTGAGCCCATTCTCTGCGTGGGCGGGAGCGTGATCACATGACGAAGGATAGACGTGTGATTGGTCCAAGGAGCACGTAGCTTCCATCGCAATGTCAGTTTAGAGGGCGGATAGTCATTCCGAACACGGCGTAAGTGCCGGATTCGGAAGTGTTGTTTGTCGCTTGTAGATTTAATTGGTAGATTAGGCTCCTAGCAAGTTGTGCGAATTTGCCAACGGCACTTCCCAACAACGCGAAAGATAACAATATCATCCGCGTTTTTGTATACCGCGCCGGCCTTGCGCCTGCTGCACGCGTCGCCATTTCAGCGCATCGCCGCGCTTATCACGTACGTGCTTTACGTCGTCCTAAAAAATCACGGATTCAGGGGCTTTCTTTTCATGTTTTTCAATTATTAAAAAGTGAATTAACGTTTTTAGGTAATTATTTCGCTAATTGATATGTTCCTTGCAATTCCTGACGTCCACCGTGGTTGGCAGTTTGTTCTCAAAAATATGCTTTTTCTTTCCTCTCAAACATCGACGCAGAAACACTCGAAATATACGATACATTCCACCAACTTCAGGTCTCGCCATCAATGGATTCAGAAGGGACGACTGCAGCCAAAGGTCTTCATTGGCTGCGGGATATGGCGAGGAAATAGAACTAGGCCGGGAGAGCAAGTCGTCTGCTTGTTGCGCAGGAATTGCGGTGACGTCAGAACGACACCGAGCTCCGATTGGTTTCCATTGGAAGGATAGTGGGTAGACCCCGACGTAGCTAGCATTCAGGCCTACCTTCTATCACAGCCAATCAGAACTCGGCGTCGTTCTGACGTCACCACAACCCCTGCGAACGAAGCAGACGGACTTGCGCCCCGCATAGGAGGGTCTATGTCTAGCTTAATTTCCACAGAGCTCGGTGTTCACCCGACACAAGGCCTGCAGGCTGGATTTTGGTGCTCGATCACTTATTGAACAGGAGCCACAGCCGAACGCTGACGTGGCGTTTGACTACGTCAGTCGAGCATTGCGTCAGATACAGAAACAAACAAGTCACGTTGTTGTCCCCAGGGATTAAGTTCTGAACTTAGCCGCAAGGGGCACGACGGCTAAATCTCCTCCTCATATATAGATTTAGCGCCGAGCGCCCAAATGGTGTCACTTCTACTTGACGTCACATATGATTTTGGTACTTAGAGAAACTAAGTAGTGAGTAGTACTTAAAAAAAACACAAGAAAATAAAAAAATTGTTTTTTTCTTCTTAAACAGTTTGGTTGGGAAACGCGTGTCACAAAATAAATTTTACGCATTTTTTTTTTTTTTAGAGCGATATTGACGGCGAGGGATTTATTTCAAATTCTGCGCGCAAAATCTATGACCTCACAAAATGGTCATTCGCTCAACCAGATGGTCATTCGGTCAAAGTAAAAGCGAAGCCGATCCACCTCTCCTCCCCGCGCCCGAAATGCCGAGAGATAAAGCAAGTGGAAAGGAGGTGACTACCGACTAAATCGCGTCTCGCGCCGTCAATATTGCTCTAAAATTATTCTTTTTCGTGTGAAATTAATTTTTTGACACGCGTGTCCCAACTAGACTGTTTCATAAAGACATTTTTTTTTTCTTTTCAGGTGCCCTTTAATAGGAACGAAAACAATCGTAAACAGGAGAGTTCATTCTCACCTATCAACCACAAAGACAGGATCGGTCGAGACTGATGACGCAGAGCACATTCAATGACTTTGAACAAGGCGAAGTTTTGCCGCCTGCTGAGAGTCGGCCACGGGATTATGATATCGGCATCTTGCTGACCAACAGATAGTATAAAACGGCATGATGCTGCGTCTCTTGATGAAACGAAACGGTAAATTTTACCGTAACAGAAAATAAGATTACCTGTTGTTAGATATAACATGTCCGCGTTGGTGGCGGTTATACAACGACTGCTGCGTCATCAGTTCAATGTATTTGAGAACAAGCCCATTCGGCAGTAAACATTTGGCATAAGCCAATCTGAACACACCCCCTGCACTGTTTCGTAAACGTTCTGGTCGAACGAATCCCAACGTTGGACAACTTTCCAAACGCCACAATCCAGCCCAGCTATGGAGAGATGCAATCTACCGTGAAGAAATAAAAAAACGTAAACATAAGTAAGTGCAACTCCGACTCCGTTGAGGCAACGTAGGTCACTTTGACGAAGAAAAAAAAAACCGGACCCATGCCAAAATCAAAAAGAAGCCCCCTCGCCTTCCCAACCGAAAAACACGGAGCAGGCAGCAAAGGGGCAAAGCAGAAATGTTCTCGAGGATGTGTCACTGACCGAGTGGCAACGGCGTTCAATCTGCGCATGCGCCATTGCCCCCTCTCGGCAAGATGCGTGTGTACCTGCGCAATGTTGTGTTGTTGATGTCTCATCCTCCACCTCCACCAAAACCACCAGCGTCGGGACCATTAGGAAGGAAAGGCCTGCAGCTTCCTTCCCCCCCATCGGCGGCGGGGACCCCTCTCGGGCTCTTCAAAGGGAGGAAAAACAAGTTGCCCTTCGTGGATGCCGAGGGGGGGCAAGTGCGCGGTGCCCTCTCCCGCTCAGGGGGGCCCCGAATCCTCCTCTCCCGTGACGTCAGCAGCCGCTGTCGCTTTCGCTCACCTTGCTAGCCGACTCCAGTAGCCCACTTTCGCAGAGACCAGTCGGACGTGCTGGGTTCCGGCCGTGTGTCGCACGCTCCCGGAGTTCCTTCGCCCCCTTTCCGTCCCGTGGGCCAGTCGGGTCCCGATCCTGGCCGGCGGCCGCCGTCCCTCCGGATTACGGTTCGCCCGTCCCTTCTCGTTGACCTGGATTAACCGGCGGACCGCAGCATGCCCAAGGCTTTCCTGGTGCGCAAGTCCCGGAGCCACTGGAGGCCCGCGACTTCTGCGACTTCTGCGGCTTCCGAGGCTGTCACCCCGCCGCCCAGCCCAGAACAGGCGCCGCAGAGTCTCGTGGTGCAGCGGTGTCCACCGGCTTCCTTCCAGGGAAATCTTATCATCGGTGAGCCAGTGCCTTCCTCCGTCCTCGGCCCGGGTGCGCGAACTGCTGCCAACGGTACCGCACCGATAGCGATCTCGGCAGTTGTACCGAGTCGTTGTATGAAGCAGGGATGATTGCTTTACAATGGCAATGTCCTAAGCAATTTCTGCAGATGTCGTTGCATGATGCAGGCATGACGATGTCTCGTCTATGGTACTACTGACCTAACCAATTTCCGCAGGAGTTGTTGCACGATGCACGGATGATGATGATGGTGCGTCGTCAACGGTACTGTTCTAAAATATATCTTAAAGGTACATGTTCCGACTTTTCTTGTCAAAACCATTCGATGACGAAACTTTTCTTTTAATTTAAGAGAAGCTTATTTGTTGTCGGACGGTAGTACCAGCAGACGTCAGCCTTGCACACTAATCCGATGCATCTGCAATCACTCGAGCAGACTCAGCGCGCACCCTCTTCTTCAAGAGGCGTATAAGCCATTGGAAAACGCATTTCCGCCTCAAGGTGCGTTGTTGTCTTGGCGCCGCGGAACCCAAATCTGGCATTGCCCCGTTTCCCCTTGTGGTACCGTCGTAGATCTGTCACCACTCCCGCCCTCTCCCCTCGTTAAAGACTCCCCAAAATTTCATCGCGGTTCGACAAAATTCCGCGGATCGGCCGCCACCGGGCCGACAATGGAAGGACCTTGAGGACCGCCGCATTTTTCCTTGAACTGGGAAGAAAGTCGCGAGGAGTGCCCTTGCCCTTGGTGCCGCTGACGCGCACCGGAAAAAGAACGCCTTGTAAACACGTGTCGCAATCCTCGCTGGAGCAGCTTCTTGTCTGGTTTCTGTGGATCGCTTCGGGTGTCCATGTCGCCCCCGGAGTCGCTATCCACGAAGGGCCCGCGTGTCGCATCGCACTTATCTCTCATTGGATAGCTTCTCCGACGCATGTCCACGGCCGGGCGCGCTATCGTCCGCTTCTTCTAACGGTTCTTGGGCGCATCTGGCGTTCCTCGCAAGATTCGCGCGGACATCTGCTGTTCCTCGCGAGACGTTCTATCGTCCGTTGCAGCAGAGGCCCGTGGAAGACGCTCGGACCGTTACGCGACCCCTCCCCTCTTTTGCAACCGCCAGCCCGCTTGCCAGCGGTTGTTCCGTTCCTCGAGGCCAACTTGCATCTCAATGAGTTCTAGCAGACGGGATCTGTATCGGATGTGGCCTGGGCGGGTGGTCAATGCGGTAAAGGGGGGCACGCGACGTCGTTGTCGGGAATGATCTGCTCCTTGAGCGTCGATGAAAACCGTTTTTACTCCCTTTCCCTCGAACCGTCGGGTAAAAGACTACGGGCCCGTCCTCCTTTGCGACAACGGAAGAAGGACGTGCAACAGACGAAGCTCGCCCGCAGTTAGGTTGCAATGTTGTAGCGTCTTTCTCAAGATGGTAGTTGCTCCACCACCCATTAATTGGGGCGGCTCCGCAACAGTCTAGATGTTGGAACGCCATACACCAGCTACGGTGTTCCCCTACGGTGTTCCTAGAACACCCTTAGGGTGATAGCTTTCTTACCGGCTGAAAAACACCCAGAAGGGTGCAAAATTATTGGTGCAGAGTATACCTTTCTCATGCACGGTTGCAGTGATTCGCATCAAAAGAGATAAGCACGGGTTTCTAGTCAAGCATTTTGGTTTATTGGGGAGTTTTAGTAGATCGTTCTTATGACTTCGATAACGATTCTCCGCCTGCGTCTTTGTGCATGCATCGTTATCAGGTATCAGAACGATCTACTAAAACTCTTTGCTAAAGCCGCAGCGATACTGATTACCTTCGAAGCAAGAAAGTTGTGATAGTGTTTTTGTGACTTTTTTTTTTTTTTTTATTTAGCTACGTAAGATGTCCGGGGTAAGTTTCTTGACCGCAGATATAATCTGCCGCGATCATTACCATCATCGATAACACTAGACATATGAACCCGCTAATCCCGGAGTTGGACGCCGTTCCGGCTTTGGCGAGAGAGATCGGGACCGGCGCGCGCGGGTACGTCACTCCGTTAAAACAGCGAAAGGGAACGTCTGTTGTACAGGTCTGCTAAAATTGCGCGTCCATCTCCGCCGCCGCCGTTGAAACCGGTTGCTGGCGCAACGGCGGCCTTAGCCAGAGGAAGGTGAAAGTGTTGCCGTTCATTGCCAAGGCCGGCGCGGGACGCGTCCCCCCCTCGCCGGCCGTTCATTCGGGACGGGTTCCGATCGAGCCCCTCGCCGCCGCTCTCTGATGCATTCCGGCGAAGGGAGAGGAAACCTGTCCGTATTGAAGCGGCAGGTTGCTCCGCTGCCAGAGTTTCCGTTACTTTGTTTTTGTGTCGGTACTGGACGCGCTGACGTGAGACGTCCACATAATGAGCCCCTTCGACGCGGCTGTTCTTGTATCTCTTGTTGTCGTGCGCGTGCTTCAATCGACACATGAAAAAAAATTTCATAAAACAAAAAAAAAAGATTATCAATAAAAATAAAAAAGTCCATCAAGATTAGGCTAGGTGGCGCAAGCTACCGCCCGTTACAAACGGTATAGCCATTAACTTCCATCCATCCATTCAACACCGATGGTCGTCATTTCTTGCGCACGAAGCGTTTGATTGGACCCCAGTTCTCGCCGAACGCTGACGCACTCGAATAGTTGGTGTAGCGGCTACAAGGTGACGCGCACTTCTGAAAATGGTCTGAAACCACCCTTGCACCACTTTTCACCCAGGCGAAAAATTTTGAGTCGCTGGACTGTTGACACGTGCGCAGTTTCGGATATTCCGCAAAAGAGCACTTCTGCACATGCTTGCTTACTAAAAGCGTGGTGTTTCTTGTCTGTTCGGTTTTCCGTCCAGTAGACGTTTTGCTCGTCTCATCTCACGGTGTTACCGTTCAAAGACTACGCATGCCTCGTTTTCCTGTTTTACATGTTAACACTGAATAAACACCTTCTAGCTTTCAAATATTTATAGTCTGGAAGTTTTGATTTTCTTTTCCTCTGCAGCTTCTAGACCACGTTGCGCTTTTTATCGACCATTGACACGTTTTAAAGCCTCCCTACTTCAGCACTCCCCCAGATTCTTTATCTGGACTCAGTTTAGATATGGCAGTTTTAACCTTGTGGTGACATATATATATATATATTGTTCCCTTATTGCCTCGTGGTCATGTGTACCGCAGCCTAAAAGTGCTCACGAACGTCGGTCTTACAATTTTTCAATTTCCTGGGAGGAAATAGGGAAGGGAGAGAGAGAGAGAGCGACACTGTCGTCGTTCCTATCATTCTTCAGAAACGTTACTCATAGGCAAACTCGAACCGTTGCTCACATTCTGGTTTGCACTATCTGTGGGGCCGGTTTCCTCGAAAAGCGGAGTGGGCGGTTTATTTGTTGATCATCCCCAGCTGGTTCTGTATCGGACTCCCCCAAGGTCTTCTCAATTACTCTAGACAGCGCCTCACGCCAGTTCCGCTGCGGATCCGGTCTGTCTGGAGTGGTCAGGCATCCTATCTTTATTGAGTAAACTTGTATGCGCATACACTAAGGATGAATACGGAGTGGACAAGGCTTGTCCTTGTCCACTCCCTCGTGTCCGTCCTCTGTGTTTGCGCATGCAAGTTCACTCGGTACCATGAAGCAACTAGCCCAACAACACGTCTTGCTAAACTACATCTTTAGTCTGGCCGGCTTCCTGTACAGTCAGTTGATAATACTGTAAGCTCTCCTCTCCAACGTTTCACTTTACGATGAACCGCAACGGAGGCTACGAGCTTGTGGACCCAATCCATTGCTCGGAGCGTGTCACGTTACTTCGCGCTCCCTGCTCCGCTCAACCGGAAGGACACGTGACATCTTCCGAGCTAGGGATTGGCTCCGGTGGCTCCTAGTGTTCGTTGCGGTCCATCGTTAGGTGCATGTGCATCGGAGTACAGTTGGTGTCCCGCGTGCACAGTCTTTGCCATGTTGGACATCTCAGTGGCCGACTATAATCAACAAGTGGGAGATCCCGCCTGCTTTCTTTGAACTAGGTTTTGGCGAACTTACACTGGCTCTGATAAATATACTTGGCTGACTTCAAGCTAGCTTGTTCTGGTTCTTTACAAAATTGGTATAAATCCAAAAATACGACTAGTATTCTCTCGCTGGCAGATCCCAATTAAACGAACTGCAGAGGTGCGTCATATGGGCAGCATTGAGCTTACGCCTGACGTGCAGTGACCTTGATTTCCGTTTTACAGCGATCGAAATTTCCTTTTTTGTTTTTAACTAACTAATAGACATGTGGAGAAAAAAAAATACGAGATCAAATAAAGAAAGTTCTCTTTTTACACTAGCTCGTTCAAGGTCGTATTGCAGCCGCGAGCAAGGCATACAATCTTTGTCTCTTCGCGTGGAAAATCGAGGACGAACGCAAATCAGCTTCGGGGATCGCAGAAGACCTCTCACCCCAAGCGACCGAGCCTTTCTCGCCAAAAGCCAAATGTCCCTCAATGGGATCACTGGCGAGAAAGTGGTCCCGATACAATCTCCCCTTTCTCGCGAGGCCATAGAAGGCCACCCTGGGCGCCCGTAACTTGCTGACCCAAAGCGCGCAGATGTCCGACTCGGCGGTCAGCCCCTACACTCCACCAGGAAGCAATTTCCAGTCAGTCCAGCTGCCCCGTAGTAGTGGTCAAGGAAGGGCTAGGCGCTTCCCTGATTGCCCTCGTCCTGCCCACAGCTGCCCCGAGCTTGCTGGCAGCGGTTCGCGGAAGCCGAAAGCTTCTTCCAGGTGGAAGGGGGTGCCCCGGGGGCAAGTGTGCCCTTACCCTAGCCGTGCAAGGACGCCGAGATGGGGTGCTCTGCTTGTTTCCTCGTGCCTAGAGTGTACATCGCTTCTTTTGGGCAGTTTTGCTGCTATGGGACAGGCCGTTAGTAGGGCTTTGGGCCGCCGAAGGTCGCCGCGCCATTAGTTCTTGGAACCGTAAAGTCTTCTTCAAGGCCAGGCGAGGCTGAGCACTGCCCCAGTAAACAAGGCGCCGTCTGGATTTTGTGGCTGCGGATCATTTAAGGCTGTGAGAGTACCTCGGCAGTTCAAACTGCTAGGGCCTAAGGGGGATTGAGAATTGATCAAAATATTAGAGTTGTCCTTTTCATGAGGTGAGGGTTGTCAAAGCTTTCGTAATTGCGTCTTCTTCGGGATACTACCCTTTTGTTAGAACAGCTTCCCTCTAATCCGCCTTTACTTTTCATGTATCGACTTGACTAGTCAAAGAGACAAAACATTCAGTAGCGAGAGTTCAGTTGCCCCAAGCGAATTGTCTTCGGGCAAAACACCTTTTCGTCTCAAGGCCAAACATTCGTCAGCACGGGGTGAAAGAAACACAGTTCGGGGTCAAATACTTTTTCTTAGCTTAACAGTCTAGTTCCCTTTCACAAATTTCTAAATCTCAGCTGAGTACTTTTCTGTTTCACTTTTCTCACGTGTCGCGAAACTTTCCCGATTCCGCAACCGAGCCAACAACTCGAGATGAATGGCAAGCACCTTGCTTTCTTCCTTTCCCATGCCACTTGCTCATTCAGGCTGCAAAGACATCGCGCCCCAACAGCCCCCCTACTGGTCGGTCGGTAACCACGTGGAACGGGCCGTGGCATTCTCGGGGACGTTAACGGTTTTCCCAGCCCCTCCTTTGGTTTCGTTGTTCGTTTACAGTCAACTCCGCTTGGTGTCACGCCGCTTACAGTTGCATCTTAGCTGGTCGCTCTTCGGAACGGGCCCAGTTACTAAAACCGGAGTCCATAGTCCCGTACCAGCGGCCCTGCGGAGGCTCGTCATTTCCGGAGTGTTCGCATTCCCCTCTCTCTGGTTTGTTGGTCCGGTGGTGTTCTGAGAACGGTCCAGGAGCCGAGACGTCGAAGAAGTTTCCTGCGTGAAATGCCTTTTTTTTTTTCACCCCCCTTGCACAGGTTGGCAAAGCGTGGAACGGTCTGGCTGAAGGGGAAACGAGTGCCGTGCCCTTCCTCAATTCTCTCAGTCTTTTGTTGATAGATTAAAAGGAATCGGTCGCCTTGACTCTTCCATTTTGGCCCCTCCTGCTGCTCTGAGTCTGTACAAAAGTTTCAGTCGTACAAACAGTTACGACGTTAAACTATCTTAAAAAAAAACATTTGTGCGACATTGGGGTATTGTCAAACTATCCTAGGTACTCAACCGTCGATTTTCGGTGTCGGGTATCGGGCGACTTTTGGTGTTAAAGGGGTTGTCTGACCGTGCACTTACTTTCCTACGCCGTCTTTGTCAAAAAAATCGGTCCTGCATTTTTCTCACGCATGTCCTTATCACGAAAGGCCACGGATAGTGGAGCGGGAATGTGGTCTTGGGAATTAAAGTTAGGATGTCCCCCAGGTTTCTTCAACAATCAAATGACCCGGACCACACCTGTTAACTCGGAAAAGTCTGCGGAACGCTGCTTTTCCACAACCAATTGAATAATATGTTAACTTCGCTCTTGCACGCGTTATCCATTTCCTCGGGAAAGGAAACTCTGCACTCTACTTAGAGGCAACGCCGGATGTCATTGTACATAAGATTGTACTCTAAGCACTGCACGTAAGCAGCACACTTTACAATACATTGGCACCTCTAATCACCATGTTTGTTGTTCTCTTCCTACAGACTTGGGCTCCCCAGCGTCAAGCGTTGATCAACGAGTCAGCCCGGTGACCAGTCAGCGAGGCAGCCCACCCGTCTCCCCTCCCACGCCACCGTCCTCGAGCGAGGGCGACAAGGGCTTTCGGCAGAGCTCCGATGAACCCTACCTATCCTCCGAGGACTCATCATCCGAGGTCTCGTCCACCTCCGTCCTCACGGCAGTCTACCGATATATGGTCTCAAGACCCGAGCGATCCCACGAGCCACCGCCACCGGCGCTATGTCCGCGTCGGGTACCGGTCATCCAGTCGCCGATATCCCGATTCCCGACGAGGCTGCCGGCGCCCCTCGACGTTCCCCTGGACGCCCGAACGACCATTCCATCGCCCGAACCCTTGTCCCGAACTGTTCCGGAGCCTTCGCCGAGGCCGCATGACCTCGTGGTCAGGTCCGAAGACAAGATGTCCGATGACGACGGTGAAGGTCCGGCGCCACTGCCCATGCGGCTCAGTCTTCTTCAACAGAGGCTGGGCATCGCAGAGAATTCGCCGCTGGAGTTCGTCAATGGCGGCCATGGCATCAAGAACCCGCTGCTGCAGAAGAGTCGGCGGAGCCAGTCTCTGGAACTGCATGACTCCGAGAGCAATCAGAGCGTGGCTTCGATGGAACCCGCGAGTCCTCAGCGACCAGCTCCGCCCCTGCCGCCGGTCCAACTGCAACCCCAGTCACCGCCACCCCAATCCCAGGCACAACAGGACAGGTGCGTTGCACTCGGCTCACTTGGTTCCAACTATTATCCATGGGAAAACACTTTTCATGCCAGTCTATACTAAAAAGAAAGCTAGCTGCCCGTATTTGTCAATGCGGCGAATGTGGAATTACGTAGTAGTGTAGTTTCATTGCAGTGTCACCACGACTAAATAAACTGGACTTAAGCTCTCATAAGAGCACTTTGTTAAGAAAGTTGCTACAGCATTGTCAAATCTAATCACTCTCCTTGCTTGGTCTTCTATCCAAACAGGTTGTCCTGTAAGGTGTGCGGCAAGTGCTTCGGTCTTCAAAGGCTCCTGAACCGACATATGAAGTGTCACAGCGACGTGAAACGCTACTTGTGCACCTTCTGTGGGAAAGGCTTCAACGACACCTTTGACCTTAAGCGGCACACTCGCACGCATACAGGTGAGATTCTCAGATGTCAATGACCCATCACCGATGTCTCTATTCGTCGCTGTGTGGTCCCTTACTCATTCGCGAGTTTTGAAACAAAGCAGCACCCTTGCACCAGCGTGGGGCGCTTAAGCTGCAGTCCCGCTGCTCACACATGATACAAAAGACATGGCGTTCGCCGCAGACATGATGACAAAAGTATCTGCGGACATGCCTCATGCATTTTAAATGCATGTTGGCTTCATACATGTCTTCAGACCGTCTTTTGTATGATTAACTAGCAGTGTGACCACGGCTCAAGGTCTCTAGCCCGTTTTCACTCTGCGCATTCCGGAATCTCGCTGCTTCCAACGCTCACGCATTGTCCCCTCCTCTTGCAGGTGTGCGGCCCTACAAATGCGTGATGTGTGACAAGTCGTTCACACAGCGCTGCTCCTTGGAGTCGCACACGCTCAAGGTTCACGGCATCCAGCACCAGTACGCGTACAAGGAGCGCCGTGCCAAGGTCTACGTCTGCGAAGAGTGCGGCCACACGACCAACGAGCCAGAAGTGCACTACATGCACCTCCAGGACCGTCATCCGTACAGTCCAGCCCTGCTCAAGTTCTACGACAAGAGGCACTTCAAGTTCAACGAAGGAAGCTTCCCAGTCGGCCTGCTACGCGTGCATTCCTGAACACAAAAACCTTCCGGGACGTCGTGCATGCCACGCCGCTCTTTGTCTGTGATACCCCCCTTCCCGAAACGTCTTCCACTTGTACATAAGGGTCCCTCGGGTGGCCGCCTCGTTAACTTATGTTTCTCGCATTCCTCACGTTCACGCTTAGACGGCCGCCACGTGTCCGGCCTCGCTCTCGAGCCTCCGAAAGATGCTCCGCAAGAACGCCCTCTCCGGATTTTCCTCACAACCCGCACCTTGGTCTGACCGATCCCACTGAGTACAAAATGGGACCATCGCAGCAACTCTTTTAAGTCGCAGCATCTCCTTTAAGTACAAAAATGAAACGGAATCGCGGTGTGGTGTCGAGGGCCCTTGCGGAGTGACGGAAGTAAGGTGCGCAGCCCGTGGCTTTGATCTCTTCTTTGTTTTCATCCCCTTGCAGTCACAGGGAGGACCATCGTTGATTCTCATGTCTGCCTTACACGTTCAATAAATGCTGCAAGGTTTCCTTCATACCAAGAAACTCCGTCTTGGTCCGATTTGTTGTCTTCTCACTCGGACACAGCGACAGCGGTATTCGTGATTTGACAAATGGTTCGGCTTCAATAGCAAAAAACTGTACTGAACACTACTAAGCTAGAAACACATTGAAAACATATATCGCTTTGTTTCTAAACGTTACTGTGTTGCCGTTTTCTTTTTAATTCTGCAACTATACTGAGCTGCCGCACTAGCATGCAATCCTCCCTTGGAGTATATCGATTGCAGGACTTGTGAATTCCTATGGCATTGCCTACATTCATACGTTTCCATAACTTAATCTCAGAATTAAACGCCTCAAGGCTAAAACGCATGTGCGTAAAATATAAACAAAAAAAAAATTTTTTCACATGCGGAAATAGTTTTGCACTATATTCGAGAAACGAGTGTACTTATCGCGCCCAAACCGCAAATGCGATCTCGTTAAAAGCACATACGTATATTGCGACTTCCAAACCGCGAATAACACCATGTAATTTAATTTCGCAAAAAAAAAAAAAAAAAAATAAGGACCTGTAATTTTTTTTTATATTCCGGTTTGAGTGCGTTTCTCGAACCGTTTTCCGCACATGGGTTTCATCCTGAGGCTATTTTAGATCATTGGTGGAAAGATGATGGGCAGTAAACCATAACCATTGAAAAGCTACGTAATATTCAATACAATTTTTTTGTCCAGCGTTTTTCTTTTAGACGTGAGCTCCTAGTTTATCACAAAGGCGCAACTTCCAGCATGAGCGAAAACACCGTATTGTTCTTGGAAATGCCACAGAAAATTGTGCACATTTTAGGCGTCATTGTTATTCGTTCTTGTCTTTTTCCTTTCTCTCTCTGTCTCCCTCTCGATATATATACACACACACATATATATAAGTGTACAATTTTCTGTGGCATTTCCAAGAACCATACGGTGTTTTCGCTCATGCTGTAAGTTGCGCCGTTTAAGATGGCGACGGCCACTTTGAAAGGGAGTAAATGGTGAGCTCGCGCTGCCATTTCTAACAACGGAGAGCTTTAGTAGACCGTACGTTGCGGATTGCAAGCCTAGCGGGCGCGTGCTCAATCTGTTCTTCAAAGTGACGGCAACGCAAAACTCTAGCGTACGGTCTACCCATACGTCACATGAAAGACTCGGCCAACACTGTAGTATGCAACGCCCCCCAAAAGGATCCGCTATAAAAAAAAAAAAGGAACGTTAGCAGAAAACCGCTCATTGTAAACAGCGGGTACGGCGGCAACAAGGAGGCACCTTCGAGTTACCACAAGTTCGCCGTCAACGGCCGGATAGACACCGCAGCAACGGCCGCGGGCACGATGTGCACGTGCAGCCAGGTGCGCGTAGGGGCACGCGCCCCACGCGCACAAAGCGTGGCACCCCGATGAGCCCTTCCGGGGCTTTCCTCGCACCACGTGCCCCGTACACACAACGTCGCCGAGCAGCAGACCACGCTGGAAGAGAGAGTCTACATTCAGAGATGGTCTATAGCAGAAGCGACGTCGTGGCACCTGGGTCCAGCCGTTTTGTAACGGACAATCGGGTGAATCCCAGGCTGTAACCGAGTGCGTACGAGAAAATATGGGGAAAAAATGAACTTTCTCGATAGTATTCCGTAAAGCCGCATTGCTAAGACATCATTCGAACGACATGGTTGTTCGCTGCGGGTACGATGGTATAATTATCTGCAGAAACACCTGAAGCACGTTCGCTTCATACACACGTGTGTATGTATGTCTGCAGAGAGCTTTTGTATGACCAAAGTGACAGGACCGGCATACAAGTAAGAAACACGTCCCGGACGGTGTTCGGCATTTTGTCTTTTGTTCGATGTGCGACCAGTGCCAACGCGGCCTAAAATGGTAACTCCAGTTAAAAGTCGAACCAAAATAAATGACACGTATAATTTACGGAAAGTAACTTACAAACCCTGCCGAAATATCACACGAATTGGAAACATCGATCCACTCTAAACTCCATCTTAAAACTGCCAGCACCAGCATTCAGCGGGCTCGTTGTTTGTCACACAACCTTGTGCACCGACGCTTTTCATGGTATATCTCGGTGAAATGGAAACGAAGTTAGAGCAGAGAAACATAGGTTCTGGTGTCCTCCTCAAGAGCTGCGCTCTAATTCGACATCACAAGGAATTGTAAACGTCTTTAATTTTTTTTTCTCCCCACGTAATGGTAGTCGCAGGAAAAAAAAAACGAAAGAAAGACGAGCAGCGTCCACTCTCCCATCTCTCAGCCAGAACAAGCAGCCACATGAGCCGATTATATGCCGCCAGCTTATATCATAGCTATGCGCGGGGGTTGGCAAAGCACAGAACAAGCGCTGATCTTCAGACATTGGTATAGGGAGTATTCACTGGCGGCCATAGCTGTGTGCGCGACTGCCGAGCGCGTGCTGACGTCGAGCTTCCACAGTTCTTTCGCCGCGTACATTCCGCACCATCAAGATTTCCGGTCTTAGCAGCCTATTAATGGGAGCACGCGCTCTAACGAGCACCCACAAATATGGCGTCCTGTGAATACTCCCTATAGGGTTGTTCAAGTATTGGCGTCATTGCAACGATTGGGAACGCGCACGAGCCACTAACCCCGAAAGCTTGTCGATCTATCGATTATCACGAGTCTATGAATAGAGTGTTCACGCAACGCTCGGGTCTAATATATGAGCCGCATTCAAATATCGTCACTTGGGGGACTATGCCAACGTTTTTATATTAGCTGAGTTACGGAACTGTTCATAGACGCTGCTTGCACGAGCAGTGACCCCCCTCCCCCCCCCCCTCCCCCAACACACACACACACACACACACACCTCGCCTCCCGTCGTTCAATGGGTCGGACTGCTCCTGGTATAACTGCCGTGTATTCTATATATGTTTCGAAGCACAACGTTTAGATGGTGTTTCACCGTACTATAGGAACACACCGTTCTGAAACGAAAATCTAGATGGCGCTTCAAACGACGGGAAGCTAAAGCCCCCCCCATGTATTAGCATGGATTTTATCAAAGGACTTTACGGGAAGCGGACTGAAGTAGGTGGAGGGGGTACCCCCCTCCCCCGCGCAATAATTCCACAACTACAGTTTTTCTTTTTGTAAGTAGCGTTGATTATGTCCGGGGGCGAACGCAGGTATTTCCAGAAAGGCGGGTTAGCGTATTATATGTTTGAGAGGGCGTAGCACGATTGCCCCGCGTGCAGAATCCCTGTCGCGAAACCTCCGCGTCATCAGCCCCACGCTTCGAAAACCCTGCGTTCAATTCCCCCATTCCGTATTCCTCACGTGCCAAAAACCCAGTCTTGTACACGTTACTAAAAAAAGTAATCGATTAGAATTACTATTACTCTTGGCTAAAAAGTATTCGATTAGATTACTTGATTACTTGACGGCAAAAGTAATTGGACACTACTTAAAAAGTAATCGTTACTTTTCCGATTACTTTATTGTGTGAAGCCACATCTTTAGCGCTTATAAGAATGAACTACTTCCAACCTATATTTCAAATTTGCACAAGTATTGAAGAAGAAAAACTGCCTCCCTCTTCGTGGTCGTTGCACCTTCACAATGCGGACACAAGCATAGAATTCGTTTGAAGACGTTTAATGATTTGGGCGTTCGCCAGTGTGTGTGTGTGTGTAGGGGGGGGGGGGGGGGAGGGAGGGGGGAAGCGGAGGGGGTTCTAGATCTTGTTAAGCTTGAGCAAAGGTTGTCGCTCAAAGTTTGCGTCGCTCATTTTATTATTCACATGTGGATGAGCTCGCATGTTATACAAAAGAGCAGCCGCTCCAGGATTTGAAACGGATCATCTGTAGTATACATTAGCGGAAGAGATCGCCCCGACCACTTCTCAACTCGAAACATTGCTTGTTACAAAGACCACGTAGGGGAAATGGGGAAATATTTCAACTGCCTTTGTTATATTTTGCATCCGCTTTAGGCATCCTTCGGTTCTGCTTCTCCTACGGGCTGCGAGTAGGTACCCTAAGCAGGAGTTTTTTTTTTTTTTTATTGTTTTTATTTCTGTGTGTGTGTGCGTGAGGGGGCTAGTTTGAACGAAGGACTCACAAAGCTACATTCTGCTCCCTCAAACTTCGCCCTGAATGGCCTTTGTCACGCACTGTGGCTTCCCTGGGACTTCCCCCTTCCTGTCCCCAGGACGAAAAAAACAAAAACAAAAACAAAAACGGACATTCCACAGAAACTGTACATAGAAAGAGATTGACCTCGTTTCCTACAAAGGTGAAAGAGCGTGTTGGTGAAAATACGGGAGTCAAAGATACCGATACATTGGACAGACAGGTCGTTGCCTTAACACGCGCCTACGAGAGTACGTCCTCGAGGTCTCTCGTGCTTCGGCAAGACAGTACGAACTGTGAAGCCCGGTTCCAGGACACCTGCACGATTGGGAGACATAAGAACAAGCTCGGGAGAGAGATCATTGAGGCATACGAGATAGCCCATGACGATCACAACATCGCTGCCCCTTCTCTCGCCTTGTCCAGAAATGAGATCAACTACCTGAAACCAGAGCTGGATTAGCCAAAGGGCGCTCTATCTCAATTTGTCAATAGTGTTTTTCTTTTTCTTTTTTCTTTCTGAATTCTTTATCTTCCAGTGTGTTGGGTGTGAATTTGTGTTTTTTTCCGAGTTTATATAAATATTTTTTTTTTTTTTTTTTTTTTTATTATTGGGAAGAACAACAGAGAGTTTAGCCAAACACGTAGTCTGGCAGGCTACTCTGCATGGGAAGGGAGGCGGGAAGAAAGGTTGCAGAAGAATGCAAAAATGCAGGGAAGGCAGGGATACAGGTTTAGATTTTCACATATCAGTCATAGGGTTGTACTGCTGAAGACACCAACACACACCGTCACAGATGAAGAAACGAAACGTCGTTGTACTGCAGAAACACTGAGTCATTGCTCACTATTGTCCATAAACACACACGAGATATAAATGAGTTAGTGTTCACTTT